GCTCACAGCAGTTTCGGGTCGCTGTTCAGTCAGAGGCTGGAGTACATCCTCACGTGCTGCACCAGGTTGGGCTCCACCATGAAAGCGTTCTCACCCTGCCCCGCAGCAGCGAGTAGAGGGCGATGTCCTTGGCAAAGCCCTGCAGCAGCGCAGCCCCCACAGGTATCCCAAGGCCCGGCAGGCAGAGGCAGTGGGGAAGAGCATGGCGGGCGTGCAGCACTTGCTGGCTGGTGCCACGTTGTAGAGCGCGGGGTGCAGGCAGTGCAGCTCCAGCCCGTAGTGCTGCCTCACCAGCTCTGAGAGCGCCATGCTATACAGAGTGAAGAATGCCACCAGGCACCAGCTGGGGCCCGCCCGCCCCACAGCCCGGCAGTACACGCAGCTCAGCACCAGCCCCAGGAACATGCCCAGGCCCAGCCACTCCAGGATCCTCATGGGCTCAGGGTTGATGTAGTGCTGGAGCCTCTCGGGACAGTACAGCTTGAAGTAGAGAGCGTCTCTGAGGTAGGGCTTGGAGAACCGGGCCGAGAAGAGGTGATGCAAGACAGAAAATATCTCCTCCTCTGGCACAGCATCATCTTCCATGAGGAGGATGTACTCTGGGCTGTACATCAACAGTGACTGCTCCAGGCAGAAGATGTAGTCCTGCTTCTCCTTCTCGAACTGGTTCAGGCTGGGGTCAGGATTCTCTCCAGTTCTATCACGACTGACTGTAGGAAAGAGGCTGCTCAGCAGCCTGACATCCTGATGGCTGCTGGGGTCCAACTCCACGTTACAGAGCAGCATGCGGTGGCTCTGGCAACGCGCCCCACATTTCTGGAGGAGGCAGTGGAAATGGGAGGCCACTTGCAAGACGTAGTGGAAATCATTCTGCCTCTGCACAGTGATAATGGTGATCAGCAGCAAGGGCTGGAAGGTGTCACTGCTGTAGGCCTCGGAAGTGTTTGGCATCTGCATCTTCTCAAAGTAATGGAGAGCATCCTGGCCCTCCCGCTGGTTCTGTTCCAGGAACTCCTGGCTCATGGTGTTCAGGTGCCAGCACCTCAGGTACAAGTAAGGCTGCAGGAGCCGGTGGCAGATCAAAGGTGCCAGCACACCAAAAGTCACCACAGTCAGGGTGAGGAGATGAATGAAAGGGCTGGACCAATGGCACCACTTCCCACAGAGCTGCCAGGCTCGGTGGAACATAACTGCTGCAGAAGGAGGGTACTCCTGCACTGCTCAT